GAACTTTTGGTCTCCAGAGGATTTACTGAATTTTGGGATTGAGTGTGCAGACTCTGACAAATATCCCATACTATCCCCATATTAGTGAAATCTCTATTTATTTGGGGGGGAAATGCCTATATCTTTCTTTTGCTGTTCTAGAAACTGTTCCAGCAAAGTGTTAAAATACCATCTCCCATAAACTGGGATATTTTTATTCAAAGTCAATGTCATTACCATGAATCCATGATCAGAAATTAAAACTGTTGCATATCTCATCTAAATTAGCCATCAAACATGACATTAAAAAAATAACTGAGTCTTAAACATGTGCCATATGGAGTAGATAACACAGTATGCTAGAACTGAACAATATCCAGATGTCCACTAAATTCAATTCTTGGATATATAGGTAAAGGATATTGTGACTTTGGACATTCATTTTCTTTTTTGAAATCTTAGTCTAATAATGGATCTAAAACTAAAGGCAGAACCATACTTTCTGCTTGACCAGTACAGGCCACAACTGCTTTGAGAGCTACACTGGTTACCATTATGTAGTTTCTGACTGCAAATCAAAGGGCTGGTTGTCACCTTCAAAGTGTTCATTATTCATTACCTAGATATCTGTAGGTCTGCCTTCTCCCAGCAGTCTCTGCCTGTCCTTTGAGATCTAGAAGAAAAGGCTCCCATTGGATCCCGACCCTTAGGGAATGGCATCTGCAGTGATCCTGGGGTTGGGCTGTCTCAGTCACTACCTGTTGTCCTCTAGGACAACATTCCTAGCCTGATATCAGATGGACCACAACTCTGTTATCTTTCTGTAGCGCTCTTAAGACTTGGTTGTTTCAACAGGTCTTTGGGTCATGGGGTTTGTTTCTTCTTTCTTTGAGGATGATTGCATGCATGGACTATGGATGTTCTTCAGAGCCTGTGTAAATCATACTGTTACATAGTTGGGTTTTCACTTTTTAATTTTACTACTGTTTGGAGGTCTGTAAGCAAATCAGAGTCAGATATGATTGGAGTGGCATATAAACAGTAGCTTGAATTTATTTCAAGATAAGGCTTTTAAACGTTTGTAAGTTTGTCCCTATTGAAGGTCCATGTTTGAGCTGGAACACATTGAGTTTCCTACTATTCAGTATTAATTTTAACTTTTCCCCTACTCATCTGTCTGAGTTCATTTTTGTGCCAGCTGTCTCTGTTTTGATTCCAGGAGTCGCAGAGGAAGACTTTGTAACAATTTGGCCAGAAAATCCTGTGGTGGAATTTGGAGGTTCTCTTGTGCTAAACTGCAGTGCCAGTTGTGAAAATATTGGCCTTGAGACCATCTTCACAAGGGTTCCCAGTGGAAATGGATCTAACTGGAAAGCCTTTCGTCTCAGCAATGTTAGTGACTGGGGACCCAGGCCCTTGTGCTATGCTAGCTGTGGGAGTGGACAGAAGAATTCTCCAATGGCAAACATTATTATTTATAGTAAGTCACATGCTGGATTGTGTCAGTTATGCTCTAGTGTTTCCCAACCTGGACAACTTTAAGATGGGTGGACTTTAACTTCCAGAATTCTCCAACCAGCATGGCCTTTGCTAAGAATTCTAGGAGGTGAAGTCCACAGACTGGGAAACTATTGCTCTAAGGGATGCTATTTTAAGAACAACAGTGGGAACAGGATGGCTCTCAGCGCTTCAGGACCTGGATCAAACTCAGGAAAGGATGTGGCTGCATGAGGAAGTCCAGTGTCAAACCCTGAGGGCAGAAATTTACCTACAGAATCCAACTAGCCAAATGTAGCATGTGGCCATGGGTCCGGGACATGGCATCCTGTTTCACCAACAGAAAAAGCTACATAATACATGGTTTTAGCTACATAAATGGCAAAAAGCTGGAAGGGGCATGCAAATGTGAAGGGGCACCTCTCTTCTTTTTTACTCAAATACCAATCTTCCCCCAGAAGCAAATTCCTCCCACCCTTCTTAGGCAAAACTGGGACTATGATTATGAGATTATGGTAAAAGAGGGTGTGTTGTTTGTGTTTCAGCTGGTTGTGGGAAACCAGGCTTGTCCTGTAGCTTGTTGCATGAAGCAGACTACCATTTGATAGGATAATCGCATGTCTGATGGGCACAGACAGCAGATGTGCTTTGCTAAGATGGGTTTAGCACGTTGTATGAATCTAGCCTATGCCAAAAAAAAAAAAAAAAAAATTACATTCCTTTGGCGGCTGCCATTGAAAAGTAAGAGATTAACCAGCAAGAGAGTATTTCCCTTCCTGGAGGCTTGGGGATATAATATAGTGCCCCCAAGGCATGTAGAAATCAGGCATTCTTCTTCGGCTGCACATGAAACTATATTCCTAAGATGCTATAGAATGACTACCTCAACCTAATCAAAGCAGTTAATTTAGAAATTTTTATTCTGTTCCAGAACTTCCAGACAGTATCACACTGGATCAAATTCCAAAGATGGAGGTGGGCAAGCCATATGACTTGACGTGCCAGGTTTCTGGTGTAGCCCCCATCCAGAACCTCACCGTCACCTTGCTGAAAGGGACAGAACAACTTCTGGCAAAGACCTTTGAGAATCATACAGCACCTGGGGTGGGTCGTGTTGTGGTGAAACATACAATAATAGCTCAGCGAAATGACCACAAGAAGACAGTCACCTGCCAAACATCTCTAGATCTGAATCCAAGAGGACCACTGTTGAAAAACACTTCCCACAACATGTCATTAGAAAGTTTTGGTGAGATCTCATTCATTGCTCCAATTCCTTGTTTGGATATAGTTTATAAGCTTTAATTTGTAAGTTGCTTCTCTTAAAATGCACAGCTAAGAGTGCTTTGAGGAGAGATTTTTCTCTTCTGGGATTATTGAAAAATATTGTTAGACTTCCTTTTATACTCCAAAATTTGGCCCAGACATTTATGCTGATCCCACTGTTTTGATTTTTGTTTGCATAGACTTGATGTTTCCTACAATTGCTCCTGCACTCACCATTTGATTGGCTAGAGAGAGAGCACTATCATGGCTGTGATTTCATTTGCAATAACTGGCATGGTTTCTCTTACTTCCTTGGCAGATTTTGCAGGTACTCCCCAGCTCCATGCTGGCCTGTTCTTAGAAGCTGGGACCAAGATGACTGTGACATGTAATACATCTGAGGTTTCCCCAGCCAAGGAGGCTGCGTTTGATCTGTGGTTTGCAGGGAAGCCTCTGACCTTAAACACCAGGGTGACAGGGGGCGTAGCAAGCGCCCAGGCTGTGGTGATCCCTTCCTCAGTTGGAGAACATGAGTTGCTCTGCAATATCTCTCTGGGGCCAGTGACCAAAAACGTGAAGAAGATGGTGAATGTGTTTGGTGCGTCTCATATCTGTAACTGTTAACACAGAGAGATTTAGAAGAGTGGGTTCCCTTCCATCTGTTTGAACAAACGTAGAAGAAGTTAGAAGTTAAATTGCCTTCTTTTGAAAAACAAAACTTCAGTAATGGATTGTAGTTGAAGTGAGAGCCCTTTGAAACCAATGGAACTGAAGGGATAAGTAATTTATCCTAGTTATGTTTTCACTGAGACCCAAGAACAACTACTTTAGGGTGAACCAAAGCCATAGTATTCTTATTCAAATTACATTTAATAATTTATAAATGTATAATTTAATTTTAATATATGGAGCTTAGGTCTGACATAAAGCCATTGGAAAGACTG